CTCCATAGTAATAACCTCATCTTGAATTTTATATACAAAATGTCAACAGGAATTAATTAACCCAAAAAGCTGCCCTCCTTCCTGACACACAACCAGGTAAACCTGTGGTATTTTGAAGATGCCCAAAATGGTTGAAATCTGGATGGAAATATCAGCATCATTTCAAGGACAGTCAAGAGGTTTTCTTCCCTTCCACAACTATAGTTTGGAACATTTGCCTCCCCAGTAGAAACTAGATTTAGCAGACCATCTGAAGTCATCCTAGTGTCATAATAGTGGTAGATATTGTAACCCAGAGTGATGTTGTAGAGAAGCCTGGGGTCTTGATTGATCTCCTGAATGGCAAAGAGGAAGGAGAGAATTTTCCAGAACATCATGGATCCTTTCCTGCAAATATATGTTTACAGAGTATCCTATAATTTATTTAATTTGTGCTTTTCAGTCTTCAAATTGTTTTCCATGTAAAGTTGACACTAATCCAGAGTCAGAGTTCAAACCCAAGTGTCAACTAAAATTTAATGCTTTGGTCTATTGATGGTCTTCTAACCATGTTCAGGGGCTGTTTTACAAAAAAATAATAATCCTATGAATGAATGACTATGCTCCTTATCTGCTCAATCACTGAAGCTTTCTTAGCAAATTATGCTGCAAAACTACAAAAAAGACAGTCCAATATGCCATAGAGCAAAAGGTACCATAGGAAAATTAGGAAATAAAATCCAAAATATCCTTAGATAGCAATCATTTGAATGGAAGAAGTAAAGAAGTTGAGTGTGTAGAGGTAAAGTTGCTAGACTGGCAATGGGAAACCCAGCTCCTAAACTACTTCTTGAAGCTCCCTGGAGGTCATTGGGCCAATGATTTTGATGGCCCTCATAAGAATAAAAGAATTAAAATCAAGGATTTTATGCCAGGCTTTGCTAATATACTTTGTCTGTTTAGACCAGTGGTGCAAACAATGGCCCCTTTATGACCTGTGGACTTCAACTCCCAGAATTTCTGAGCCAGCCATGCTCAGGAATTCTGGGAATTGAAGTCCACAGGTCAGAGAGGGTCCATAGTTCCCCACCACTGGTTTTGACAAAGGAAAGGAAGTATTTAATTGGGACTGCAGAAGAAAATTGCATTGACACAGCTTCAAAATCATTGCCAGGAAAACTGACTTCCCAGGTTTACTGGAAACATACTGGAGAAAAATAGCTTTGGGGTGCATTATTTTTGTACTTTAAACTGATTTTTTTCAATTTTATAACATTTTATATTTACAGATAATATATAATTTAATAAGGATTTATTAAATTTATTAAATATATAAGACCATACACCAGAATAATATACATGTATGACTCTAATTTTGTCACTTGTATCCTCATGATTTATATTGACTGTTTCCTAGTATGATTTGATCAGGGGTGGGATTCAATTTTTTTAACAACCGGTTCTGTGGGCATGGCTTAGTTGGTGGGCGTGGCTTGGTGGTAATGTGACTGGCTGGGCATGGCCAACTCAACATCACTCACATTGAGGCACGCATCCCCTCGCCTGGCCTCTCGTGACTGTGGGAATGCTGCAATAGTCATAAGTGTGAAAAATGGTTATAAGTCACTTTTTTCAATGCCATTGTAACTTTGAATGGTCACTCCACACAAGCAAAGTACCAGCAAAGGAGGGGGGAAAAAACTCCAGAGAAATTCCAGAGACAGGAAGTCTAGTCCTGCAGTTTCTGTAAGCAACACCAGAATGTTTCCTTCCTGCCTTCCTTACAGGATTAGACCAGTAATTTCTTCTAACAACCAGTTTTCCAAACTGCTTAGAATGTTAACAACCGGTTCTAGCGAATAGATGCAAACTGGTAGAATCTCAGCCCTGGATTTGATTGCTTATTGTAGTCTGTGACTATCATTAAGTGTTGTACCTTATGATTCTTGACTCTTGATGAATGTATTTTTTCATTGATGTATATTAAGAGCATTTGCACCAAGACAAATTTCTTGTGTGTCCAATCACACTTGGCCAATAAAGAATTCTATTCTATTCTATGCTGTGCAGAATATGACGTACATATAGATATGTATGACTAGTTTTTTTCCCCTAACTACTTCTATAAGGATTATTCTTTATATTATTCATGTGGTCTTGTATTCTTATATGGACTGCACTTGTAGAGGTTAAATCAATTTCGTTGTATACATGATATACAATGACAATAAAGGCTTTGAATCTGAAGTAAACCCTTATTAAACTTTTTTTTAAAAAATTAGAAGATACAATCTCAAACAAACTAAAAATGCAAACCAAAGAGAAAAAAAGTATCTACCTTCTATTTCCCACTTATTAATAGTCACTGGCTTACTCAGTGATACACTATTATCCGTGCAAAATATTACTGTAAAATATCACACACATCTCTTCTTTGCTCTTTAAACTGATGTCCAAAACATATCAGAAGCTTTGCTCAATGCAGAGTGGGAAGTGTGCCCCAAAGCAGGAAATTACACCTATCAGATAAAGGGGAAAGAAATAAATCTTTCTAGAAGGCTGGACCTTTAGATATCTATGGCAAGTATAGGGACTATGATGGGCCTGCCCTATCAAACAAACTCAGCAGAGGGTGCCTTGCCAAAATTGTATGCCTGAAACTTTGCCCGGCTTGCAGAGATGATCCCACCAATGAGAAGCCCTCCTGGCCTGTAAAAATTTAGAGGGTGTGCTCCATCCATCTTCAACCTCAAGGAGCACTTGGTTTTGAGTTTGCTATCCACTACCTGGGATAGCAGAAATGCAAGTAGAAAAAAGAGGGCCATTCCTTTCATGGCTGGCTCCAATTCTTGCTTTGGCACAGCTTATTTGAAATCACAAGAAAGAGTTTAAAACTAGCTTAATCCCCAGACTGAAGCACGGATGGGTTTCCTGTTTCAGGTGGAGCTCAGCTCAGTTTGAACATCTGAAGAAAATGAGATCTTTGGCACTATCTCTGCCCACCCATCCACAAAATCATCCACCCCAAGCATTTATTCACCAAGTCTTTGTGATGTAAAACCTTGGCATATGTTGTTGCTCCTGAGCCAATTCTTTCTATGGCAAGCAATTTGTTAGAAAAATAAAATCTCTGGAGTTTTGGTACGAAACAAACAAATAAATTACTATTATTTGCGTAATTATAAGGTGGAGAAAGTCCATCTGCAACATCCTGAACTCTGTGGGATTCTGGTCAGATGAGATTGCAAGATATACTTTCTAGGTACATTTCAGCATTAGCATGATGTTTTTCTTCTAACAATAGTTCTTCTGCAAAATAAGTTTATTTTATTCAGTTTGTTCAGGGCATAAAACTCCCTGGAAGAATTTTTGGAACAATCTCCCTCTCTCTGTCCAACCTAACTCCCAAGATTTTTGCCATGCTAAAAATTGGAGGTGGGGCCGTATATATGCCAGCTTGAGTTGCACAAAATAAAGGCAAGATGTAAACCTGACAACCATGGTTGATATAGGTGGTATTCAGCAGGTTCTGACTAGTTCTGGAGAACCGGTAGCAGAAATTTTGAGTAGTTTGGAGAATCGGCAAATCCCACCTCTGACTGGAGATTTTACAGTATCTTTCCACTACCATGTCCACCAAGCCACGCCCACAGAATCAGTAGTAAAAAAAATTGAATCCCACCACTGACAGTTGAGTTCATTCCTGGTGAAGTTATGGAAGCAGTCCAGCACAATCTGCTTTTGTTCATTCAACCAGAACCATGATTGGTGGTCACTGATTTCCCATTTAAGAATTAACCAGGTCCAATGCTGCTTAGCTTTTCAGAGCTCAGAGCAGGGGTGGGATTCTACCAGTTGGCACCTATTCGCTAGAACCAGTTGTTAACATTCTAAGCAGTTCGGAGAACCGGTTGTTAGAAGAAATTACTGCCCTAATCCTGTAAGGAAAGCAGGAAGGAAACATTCTGGTGTTGCTTACAGAAACTGCCTCTCTTGTTAACCCTTATTACATTCTTGGCAGGACTAGACTTCCTGTCTCAGGAACGTCTCTGGAGTTTTTTCCCCCTCCTTTGCTGGTACTTTGCTCGTATGGAGTGACAATTCAAAGTTACAATGGCACTGAAAAGTGACATGACCATTTTTCACACTTATGACTGTTGCAGCAACCCCAGTGATGAGAGGTCAGGTGAGGAGATGCATGCCTCGATGTGAGTGTTATTGAGTTGGCCACACCCAGCCAATAACATGACCACCAAGCCACGCCTACCACCTAAACCATGCCCACAGAACCGGTTGTTAAAAATTTTGAATCCCACCCCTGGCTCAGAGCCAAGGTTGGTTCATCCCATTTGTGGATGATACATGATATAATTTAATTAATTAATTAATTAATTGCCACCCAACTCAAGTGGAGTCTGGAGTTGTGGTGAAATAATTAATTCGTTGTGAAGAGCTTAATGAACTAATGAGTTGGAGAGAACTAACTAATTTGTGAAGAATTAATTCTAAAACAATGAAGGCAACCTTTTTTTTCCTCCTGAAGTTAATAATCTAATATTTCTTTATTAGATTTTCATTCTGTGGTCATATATGATTCTTGGTGGTGATGCAAGCAATCAAAAACCATCTACTGTAAAATAAAAAGATATAACTCACGATGAATTACCCGAAAACAGTTGAATCCAAATTTAAAAGCAGAACAATATATAAATGCAATTGTATTAAATTTCATTCATATTTTTAAAAGGTAAAGGTTTTCCTTGTCCAATTGTGTCCTACTCTAGAGGGCTGAACTCATCCTTATTTCTTAACTGAGAGAGCCCTTGTTGTCTGAAGACACTTCCATGGTTATGTAGCCAGTGTGACTATACACTGAGGTGCACCGAATGGGGTGACTTTCCCACCGAAGTGGTACCAATTTACTTACTTGCATTTGCAGGTTTTCAAACTGCTAGGTGGGCTGGAGCTGAGGTGAGGGTGGGAACTCACCCAGAATTTTCTTGCCAGCATGCTGATTGTGGGAATTCTGGGAGTTGAATTCTACGTATCTTAGTTGCTAAGTTTGGAAGAGACCAGCCTAGGTAATTACACACACATACAATGTCCCTCTGTAGTTCCACAAATGTACCACTATGATACAAGATCAATAGTAAGGATTCTTTATATTAGATATTTTCAAAAAAAAAAAAAAAACATGACAGGAGGATGGACAATGCCAGCTGTGTGAAGTCCCCAAGATGTGAAAATCAGCCATGGCAATGTTTCCCAACTTTGGCCATTCCCAAGTGTGTAGACTTCAAGTCTCAGAATGCCACAGCCAGCATGGCTAGCAAATAAAAGTTCTGGGAGTTGAAGTCCACTTATCTGGAAATCACCAAGGTCTTGAGTTAATGAAACGCTCATCATATGAGAAGCCCTGTTTCTTTGCTGAGGGGAAATGTTACCTTTGAGCAGTAATGTTAGTTTCTTTTAAAAAAATAAAGATGAACTCTGCATCAGTTAGCCATTAATCTGTCTGAAAGGTAATGGAGGTTTGATAAGAGCTGGCAGAGATCCTTTTCGATTAGCATTTTCCTTAATGACCTTCTTCATACATGCTGGGACTCCAGAAGGCAGGATGGAAACAATCACACTGACTTGGAAAACCTGAAAGCTGCAGCCACACCTGACCTAAAGAGACCAAGACTGAGGGGAAAAGCCACCTTAGATCCCCACTTGTTTCTTGTTCTTCTTGATTATTGATTTTTCCAGACGTGACACATACTACAACCAAGACTGAGAAGCAGACATAACAGCCTTAATGAGTGATGGAAAGGCGAGCGTTTCCAAACACATAAAATAAGGGAAGGATCACCTCTCCAGCAAAGGGGGGTGCAGAAAATGCAAAGAGAGGAGCTCCTGTATCGGCATCAAAAAAAGTCACCCACCCCCCTTCATAGTTCAGAATTATTCTGATCTTCTTGGGCATCCTACGTAACGTCAAGGGGGTATAGAACGGAGGGTTGTATGCTGTGTAGTTGCCGTCCCACTTCCCCACGGCCCAGAATCCTTCTTCTGGACTAAATTCAATGTCTCCTTTCCTCCTTATAGACTTTCGGGCAACTCCTACACCCCAGGTGTCGTCTGTCCCCACAGCGACTTCCCAGAAATGCCTGCCAGTAGTGAATCCTGAACAGGCTAAGACAAAAGGCCATTCGTCAAATCTTTCTGGGGTTTTGGGTAGAGGTTGATAAAACTCGCCCATTTTCAGGCTTTTACAGTCGTCTGTCAAAATGAGACGAGGGTGAGCTGTGTCTGGATCCAGAAATACATGTGCTGTGGGGGTGGGGGGGTGGGAAGAAAGATGAGAAAAGAAAAGAATAAGCGGAGTTAGTTAAAATGGCAGCATGATATTGATGCAAATCAAGATGTCGGTTGTCCCATTATAAGGCCCTACATGGCTCAAGAGCTATACACAATATCTGGATATAGAGAGAGCTGTGGTGATGCAATGGTTAGAATGCAGCATTGCAGGCCGACTCTGCCCACTGTCAGAAGTTCAATTCTCACTGACTCAACTCAGCCTTCCATCCTTCCGAGGACAGTAAAATGAGGAGCCATATTGTTAGTGGGCAATATGCTGACTCTGAAAACACCTTAGAGAGGGTTGTAAATCACTATGGAGCAGTATATAAGTCTAAGTGCTATTGCTATAATTGTAAAGGACCACTCATTTCAGAGCAGGAGTTTCCTATTATGAGGATGGTCCATCCATCAGGGCTCATCTCTTCCTCTGACCATTGATTCCTCTATCAAACTCATCCTGACAGAAAGAGCAGTTTTGTGATGACCTGGGGCGTGGCATAAAGGCAACACAGTCAAATAAGCAAGAAGAGTCCCTTTATTATCTCCAACTTTGCCCCCAATGTCCAGGTTACCTTCGGCTGGAGAAAAACTCTCCCAGGAACAGCCTTTAACTGGAGAAAATTCAGTCCAAAACAAGGTACATATAGACTTTAACTAAAAATCCAAACAAACCAAGCTGCAGTAATTAAGCTGACAGGGCAGAAGAAGGACTTTCAGACTTGAAAGCAATGCAAAGTTCACACAGTTGGGAAGATGCCAGGAACACAGATAAACCACGAAGTTACCAGATAAATTCACAATCTGCTCCCAACAGCTTGCTGCATGCAGCTTCCCTTTTTAAACACTGTGTTCCCAGCTGCAGTTAATGAAGGGAATCAGGGCCCTTTCCTCCCACGTAAGCCACGCAACTCATGTTGCTCCCTTCTCTGTTCCTTCCTGTATGCCCTAGGATGAAGAGGGGGTGGGCCTGGGTCTTCCTCTGAATTCCCTCTCCCTTGCTTTATGTCTCCCCTGCTCTGCCCAGCTGGACCACCTTTCCCCAGTTTTTTCCACAGCCAACTGAGCCACACTCCCACTCCCTGTCAGCTGTTCGGCCTCCCCCTCCAAATCAGATTCCAACAGAAGCATGACAAGTTTGATAGAGGAACTGAATCTGAGCCTGACTTCCTGTAACTTAAATATATTCTGAGACCTACACATGGACTCCTAGGGCAGGGGTCTCCAACCTTGGCCACTTTAAGCCTGGAGGACTTCAACTCCCAATTCCCCAGCAAAGCTGGCTGGGGAATTCTGGGAGTTGAAGCCCACCAGGCTTAAAGTGGCCAAGGCTGGAGACCCCTGACCTAGGGAACACACTTTCCCACTCTATGCATCACTCTTCAGGTGCCCTTTCCTAACCTCCTGTCCTTTTCTTACTTTGAGAAGTATTCATAAGCAAGAGATGTGCCCCAAAGCACTTCCTTACTCATGCTTTCTGCAAAGCATTAAAGTGGACCTCCAAGTAGAGTAGGAGGGTGCCATTTTTATGACCTGTGGACTTCAACTCTCAGAAATCCTGTTCCAGCCATGCTGGCTTAGGAATTTTGGGAGTTGAAGTCCACAGATCATGAAGGAGGTATATTTGCCCATCTCTAGAGGATCCTGATGGAGGCAACATGCAGTCATCAGAGTTTAAAACATCTGTAGATTTCTACTGCATGTGTTGGTTTATTCTTCTTCCAATGCTATGCTTCACAAAGCTTCTATCATCCTCAACCCTTCTGCCTTTTGTGCCTTTCAGCCATTAATTCCAAGACACTCACTGGTGGTTTGGGAATCTCTAGATACAGAACGCCAAGGAAATGTAACAAACCAACTTTCCAATAAATTGCTATTTCTTCTAAGCTCTTATGCCGTCTTCCTGACAACAGAATTTACCTTTCTGCAGTTGAAGTCCAGCCATCAGAGTCTCTGAGGGGTGGGGAAAAGGAAGAGAACTTGAAGCACTAACATAAACCCAGGAAGAACAAAAGCAGTTTATACAACAATATTGCATGCTAGGGAAACATTAAGTAGAAACCAAGAAGTATTTGGCAGGAAGGTAGTACGCTTTTCTTGTTTGAATCTAGCCATCAGATTCCAATAATAGCCAATGTAAATGTCACCTTCAAGATTCCTTTCCTTTCTCTTGCATCTTTTGGCTGCCATAGTAATGGAGGGAGGGGGAAATAATTGGGCTTTGTGGGTGTGGGAAATGTGCTGGATATTTTAGAGAATGAACTGTATAACTTGGGGGGGAAACTTTATTGTTTATGCTTGCTTGCTTACTGTGCAACTGCAGGTCTTTATCAAAATAGGCCAAGGTCAATGGCCAGATGTCTGCATCACCATCTGAAGATGCCCCACATGACATTATGCACATCTTCGATTGGATGGACCATTTCAACTATTGTGGTGGAAACGTTGCCATCACTTTGTATATGTGTTTTTCATGCATAATTCCTCAGATCTAGAATTACTTTGATGCTACCACTTGAATTCCAGTAAAAGTTCTTTTCTCTGTATTAATGGAGTCTAAGAATGTCTTTCTTGGATTTTGAATGGACCACCACCTGACAGTAAATTAATAATTTGTTTTATAGAAAGGAAAGGAAAAAAATATGGAGGAGAGGAGAGGAAAAGATGAAGGGGAAGGGGAAGGGAAGGGAAAGGAAAGGAAAGGAAAAGAAAGGAAAGGAAAGGAAAGGAAAGGAAAGGAAAGGAAAGGGGGGAAAGGAAAGGAAAGGAAAGGAAAGGAAAGGAAAGGAAAGGAAAGG